CACTCTTATTCATTGGCACGCACTGGAAACGCTGTTATTGTTGTTCATCATCTCTACCGTCTCAACAAATATTTCAGTACGTTCTACTGCAAATATGTGAGGTTATTATGCAGTGTTAATCACTCGTGGTGTGCTGATGCATCTAAAAGTACTCAAGAGCAAGAGTTTAACCGCGTTTTAGTCTTTCATGCCTGAAGAGTATATGGGCATTTCACTCTCATAAAAAGAGGAAGAGTAGAAAGCTGTTTCGCTTTCTCCTTTTATACAAAGTGAAAATGAATTTAGCTCTATCTGATGCTTTGGGAGAGTAGAAGAACACTCTGAAGACTAGCTTGGCCTTTTTACTCCTGCGATATTCTTAGCAGTTTTTAATGTATGTATTCCTTGAAGCACACACGGATAACAACCATCGAGAGCAAATTGCAACAAAAGCAAGGTTCAGGGGTGCAGTAATGTTACCGGAAATCACTGCGCTGGCGTACGGGTTACAAGCAATCTTTTTTAGTGTCCCAGAAACGCGCGACATGAAAAGCGGCTGAGAAGGAGGGGCTACCGCGACAGTAAATCCTGTCGCTAGTCACTGATGCTTCTCGCTTGCGCTAAAAAATTACGTGCATGTGGTTGAGCGTTGACTGATACCCATTTGTCCGCATAGCGCTACAAACAGAGACGCAATTTTTCAAAACACTGTGTCTCTAACACAGCCAATGGGACCGCCACCACCGTAGACACAAGGAATGCAAAACGCCACCGCATGATCCTGTTCACAACTGAACGAAAAATACTTCTCACAATTTCCGTCGTGAGGTACCAAATAATAGTCTTTCCCCCACGATAGCAAAGCGCACGCCAAGGCTTGGTCAAGGGCAAGAGCAGGAAAAGGCTGCGGAAATGCTGGTGAACAGCTTATTTTAGTGGATCGAGCTTTCATTGAAAAAACTAGAGAAGGCACCGACTCGCCGCAAAGTACACAGTGTGCATCACTTGCAGTGTTAACCTGTCTTTTTCTTCCCGCAAGTTTGGCCGAATGAAGGGTTTCATCTTTGTCCTATAGACTGATTCCTTCGTCCATGTCACGATCCCTTGACACCATAAAATGAAGGGGGAGCTCCATAGCTCAGTGCTAGAGCATCGGACGCATTATTCTAATGTTGCAGATACCATCCCTGCCGGCAGCAAGCTATCTTTTAAGACTTTGCTTTCGTTACATTTACATTGCAATCAACTTAATAACACCCACTATGTTTTATTCGGCAGATTTGCCTTTTTTCTCATTATTATTGTGTTTATTCAGTAATACGAGCCCTTCCAATAACACTAAGGTATTTTCCTTGGAACAGAGGTTCCAAGCAAAACTCCGTTTGAGGATAAAACTGCCGATTGGACCTTCAGATAACGAGGGATAAGCAGTAGGGTGTGGAGGGTGGGGGTGGATTTTGACTTCATGTCGGGGGCTGCGTATTATGACCATGTGGGCCGCAGGATGACGGCCTTGATTGCTGATCCAATTCATCAATCCCAATTTCTTCACGCATTAACAGTTTCTAACATAATCAGTTTTTATCAGCTGCATAGGCCCCAGTTCTCGCTGCGAAATCACTTGGATGAGCTCTTTGGAATTGCCCTTTTCAAACTAGGCCCACGTTTTCAACATCCCGTTTAACCGGACTGCATTACTCACTGCTTTGTTTTAACTAATTTCAAGCCATTTCCTTGTGGTTTGAAACAACACAGCGTTGACTATACGTTAGACTATATCTACACGTGTCTATTTATCATTAAATTAAATCACTGCGCCAGCATAGTTTGGTTGCTCTGTGAAATTTGTCAGTCGTGTGAGTTAGTGTGACAAAAGCACAACAGTTATTCGGAACGGGGCATATACCTAATAGGATATGGTGACCTAAGTCATCTTTTTCTTATTGCTTTACTACAAACATTCAAAGAGCATAGATTCTGCAAACAGCCCCGCTGCGGGGGTCTTGTGGCTAAGGTACTCGGCTGCTGACCCGCAGGTCGCGGGATCAAATCGCGGCTGCGACGGCTGCATTTCCGATGGAGGCGGAAATGCTGTATGCCAGTGTGCTCAGATTTGGCCGCACGTTAAAGAACCTCAGGTTGTTGAAATTTTCGTAGCCCTCTAGTGCGGCATCTTTTATAATAATGTGGTGGTTTTGGGACGTTACACACCACATATCAATCAAAATCTAATTCCGCAAACATTTGAACACAATTAGCATTCAAGAAAGTAAACATGCAATATAGATGAACTCTGCCCTAGTGATTTTCATATACTTCGTGCTCTGGCCAGCGCTGTCACGGAACACCACTTTATACCTGACCTGCTCATTCGCGACACTCAATACACTTATCAATACAAGACCACAGTGCCTGATTACTGCCTTCCGTTTAAACCATGGTGCTTTGAAGTGGGTGCCGTGGACCCTATGCGGGTTCTGTGAAGCACTGATCAAGTTCTCTTGGTTGCGCACTTGCCAAGTCACTTATATTGCGTGATCAGGTGTGATCAAGCTAGGCAACATTCATTACTCACGCACATTTGTTCATGCTCTGAAAGTGAGTTCAGTTACACGTCATCTAATGAATCATACTCTGTCTTTTGGATTTATTGTACGTGTAATGAAGTAGAACCGTGTGAAAAGGAATACGGCATGCTGAGAAGAACTATGTATATATGCGAAGTATCAGGCGCCATCGATCACACTAGTGGTGACATTGACGCTAACGTTCAGCGTAGCATTGGGAGGAAGAGAAACCCGGGGAGGCGTAAAGCACGAAGTGATGGACTGGTATTTCTTGTAGTGTTACATTCCAAAGCTGCTATTGGGCTGTGAGAGACAGAAGGCTCCAATTGTACACAGAGACTCGCAGTCCGCTTTTAGTCAACGCACACGCTGCGAACTTTTATTGTTCAACAACGCACAGGAGAAATCTCCTAGCAGCATTTCCTTTGAGTTCAAGAGCGAAAGCCTATATAGGCGCAGTGAATTTTTGTGCAGCGCGAGCCGTCGCATTTTCAGTCAATAAACACGCTAGCAGACACTGCCTGCGCTGGCCTTGCGAGGCGATAGAGAGAGAGCGCTGGAGAGGAGAGAATGGCAGAGGGGATGCGCATGCGCAAAGGGGGATGTACATGCCACAAGGAGGAATGCTTGGAGAAGAGAGAGGGAGGGGGCGAGCATAGGTTAGCAGACGCTCCCTGTGTCAGCGTTGTGAGGCTAGAAAAGGGGAGCGTAGGAGAGGAGAGAGGGAGCAGAAGCGCATGCGCAGCAAGGATGATCACGCCGCACACACCAGATTTAGCTCAACCCCAAGCGGCTTCACATCTAAAAATCTCACGATATCCATAAATTAAGTGATGATGAAGGAGCTAGCTCGGAACTGATCTGGACAACCTGTGAATCTTCCGTATAAGTGTTTTACCATTTCATAAAGGCGTCACACGTTGTTATAAGGGTAATTGTATATACAACTATATATACCCCGTATGTAATCATTCACATATCGATGCAATTGTATGCAAAGAGCAGATTACTGATTAAAAAGCTACGAAGCGCGTTTTCTGTTGAAGATTACTATTTTTTTGGTTCGTGAAGTGCGCGTTGAGGGGATCTTAAATTAGAGGTCGGCGTTAAAAGTAGGAGAAGGCAAGGTCGATACAGTTCCCGTATCGATGTTCTTCTGCCGCCGATTGCATGCCGCCTCTGCTTCACTGGCTCTCACTTCGGGGTCTGCCTGTTGGCGAGCTTCTTCGCAGCGCAAGGCCGCAATTTGCGTTAAAGATGTCTTTTACGTACCTCGTTTACCCCGCCTCGGTGGTCTGGTGGTTAAAGTAATAGGCTGCTGACCCGCAGGTCGCGGCATCAAATCCCGGCTGCGACGGCTGCATTTCCGATGGAGGCGGAAATGTTGTAGGCCCATGTGTTCAGATTTGGGTGCGCGTTAAAGAACTCCAAGTGGTTGAAATTTGCGGAGCCCTCCGCTACGGCGTCTCTCATGATCATATGGGGGTTTTGGGACGTTAAACTCCACATAGCATTCAATCAAGGTGCGTCGTTTATCAGCAGAAAGACGAATGGTACAGTGGCACATTGGGTACTTTCCTAGTTTATGAATGTTGTGGTGGGCGTCTAGTGGGTACATTTCACAGCCGAACATCTAGCGTACCCACCGGGAACCTGCCCGAGCATGGAAAAAAGCTCGGTGAGCAAGCTGCTAAAACGCTTGCATGAAAACGAGGGGGCGGGGGGGGGGGGGTTGCTTGGCGATTGATAGAACGTAGCAGAGTTCATTTTGACCAACAAGTTTAGAACCCCACAAATTACTCATAGCTATAAAGCCGACATGGTGGCAGAGTGTTACTCTGCTTAGCTGCCAATCCGAGGGACGCGAGTTCGTTCTGGGCCGTTTCTAGGGAGGCGAAGTGCCAGAGGCTTGTGTACTGCACTTCATCAGTGCAGTCACGGATGAAATGGGTCTCACGGTGGATATCACTGCGTATGTAATCATATCAGTAGTAGTAGTAGTAAAGTCGTATTACCAGAATAGCAATAGTAATATAAATAACATTATTAATAATACTTTGATATAATGCATGTTCTTTATTATGGGGTATAACACATTCAGCCCCTCAACAATGTGTTTCGCGCGCCCCCTAGTCAAGGTCAATGTTCAAGCCACACGTGGCAGCAAGGTTATCTTTACAGTCATCCTTGAACATGGAAAACAGATATTCAACACATTAAGGGAGCACGCCTTGAGCGTGTTAAAAAAGCAAAAAAATGCCTTGTTTGCTGTAGTTCATGATTTTGAACCAAGAGATTGCACCGGCTGACAAAGAACTATAGATATACTGTAACGACCGTCCACAAGGAACCCTGTCGCACACATCGCAAATAAAATACTGCATCAACATGCAGCATCGATGCGCACCGTCTTTTACTGCTTGAAAAAAAGGCGAAATAATTTGTTGTGCGCAGTAATCGACGCCACGGCCAAGTATCCCACTGGCTTGCTACAGGGCACCATGTCCGATCTGGGAGCCTACGATGAGTGCATCGAGACTGTGGTGCAAGACGAGTACGGAGCTACAACTGTGCGTGGCCAGTACTGCGACGTGCATCTGTCAATATTAGACCAAGAAGCATACAATCAAGTTACGCTGCAGGCCATCATAAACTTCAACAAAAGGGTGAGTGCTCTAGCGCGGGTTCTTCATTATACTTCCCTCAGGCGTTATCTTGCTTTATGTCGTCTTCAGAATACAAATTTTATTATTAGTCGATAGCTATCGGCTATGTCGCACTAAATATCCCAGCTCTCATTATGCGCTACTGGTTAAAGCAGCATTGTTCTACGACAGTACATGGCGCATTGCTGTTTGGCACAATAAACACTCATTATTTTCACTCACCGCAGTGGTCTAGTCGTAAGAATGCTTGACAGCTGAACCGCAGGGCACGGGATCAAATCCCGGCTGCAGCAGCCCGATGTCGGTGGAAGCAAAATGCTAGAAACTCGTGTGCTGCAATTTAGGTGCAAGATAAAGCGCACCACATGATATAACTTTCTGGAAAATTTGACTATGAAATCCCTAATTATGATATCATGGTTTTGTAACACGAAACCTAGACGATTCTTGTAGTACTGCTCATGTTTTTCAATTGGCTATAAAACTATGCAGACACACACTGTGAGCGAGTCAATTACCTCCGTGAAAGATGTCCTTTCTTTATCGCCCTGCCCGAATACCCACAAAAAGTGAGTTTAGCCACAAGGTCTAAACATTGATTGCAATAGCAACAAATTTGAATTTCATACAAAGTAAGACTAAAAGCTTATACTTCTTTTGCATGAGACTTTTCTCCAGTCAAAGAAAACGCTGGTGCAAAGATTAAGGACCACCACAGTAAGTGAAGCAACCTTCATGCTGTCTATAGTGAAGCAACCTTCATGCTCTCTATGCCTCAAAGGCAAGCTTTGCGATGGAATCACAACACGTACAAACGTTTGAGCCATTTTTTGATAATCTTTAAAGATGATCTAAAGATGCCCAACCCCGGTTGTCTAGTGGCTAAGGTACTCGGCTGCTGACCCGAAGGTCGCTGGATCGAATTTCGGCAGCAGCAGATGCAATTTCAATGGAGGTGAAAATGCTGTAGGAACGTGTGCTCAAATTTGGCTGCGTGTTAAAGAACACCAGGTGATGAAAATTTCCGGAGCCCTCAACTACGGTGTCTCTCATAATCATATGGTGTTTTTGGGACGTTACCCCACATATCAATCAATCATAACTTTAAGTTTCCAAAATAGGCACGACCACAGCTGACCCCGCCCGGCTAGTCAAGCACGTCTCCATGGGCAGAGCCAGCTGCCCTCTCTCAGGCACTCCTCGTAACGCCTTTCGTGCGAAGAAGATGGTAGCTTATTTCACTTCTGTTGAAGCCGCATTCATCACCTGCTGTCATGCATATAACCTTCACATATAACAATATTTGTGTGGGCCTCGTTACCAATTTTTAGTTTATACGTTACCAATTTTTATTTTATATTATGGCGGGGATGACAACGACAGCTACAGTAAAAATGCATCTACAGAGTTTGTACATTTGCTATCCCAACATAACAAAGTCCATATTTTGTAGCGAGAAATAACAATATGCTTAATAAAAAATGCAGCTCCAGCTGGTTTAATCAGTCACACGATGCCTTACCAGTATATGTAAGACGGCTGAAAGGCGATATCGTCCTTCTTTTTCTTCTCAATAAGCTCATATATTCTGCCCCCTCCCCTATTTTCTTTTTCCGCCGAAAGTGATTTTGCACTATCTCCGTGTTTGGAGGCACTATAATCTCTATAAAGCAAACATGCTTTTGCTCAGAGATCGGTCCTCTTTTGTGAAAACAAGGAAGTAATAAGATGCCGTCATCTTCTCACGATATCATCACAGGATGACTATCATCACAGCATGACTGAACTATGGAATGATATTTTTATTTATTTCCTCTTGTCGACGCCAAGAATCACATTGTGTGCTTGATGATGTATTATCGTGAAGGCTGTCACCTTCACGATAATACAGTGGTCTTGTGTATGCGAAGGTGCCAGCAACCTCGAAAAGAAGCTGAATAATTATGAACTCTGTTGTATCTTTGCAACTGTCGTTTTGACAACTATAAAGAACAGAAAATAAAAAACGCATGCCGTGTATTTCGTTCTTTTTAACGGCGTGTGCAACTTGCTCGTGACAAACTGAATACGTGTATTAATTAGAATTTTATGTGCCTCGTTTCTGCAGTAGTTTCAAAAGCAATGGTTTTTTTGAATAGGAGCTACTTCTGCTAACTCCCGCGTATTTCAGTTGTAATTTAAGTCTGTTGATCAGTTTTCGCTGCTCCCTTGGAGGGGATGGATGTAGACCACCCCGGGCGCCTGCCGGCACCAGCGGCGTCAGCGGCGGCCGCCTCCAGGAAGCGGATGGGACAAGCGAGTGACAGCGACAGTGAAGATACTCATGTTTGCTATCTCAGCAGTGAGGACTTCTCAGAGGACGGTTTCGAACCTGTGCTGAGCCGCAAAGCGAAGAGGAGGAACATGAGGACATCCTCATCCTCAACTATTCAAACTGTAAGTGAAGCGCCAAAATCGAACACGTATACCATCCTGTTTCTGCCTGCACTTCCTACCGTCAGCATGAAACGCCTTAACAGACAGTCTGTGTTGAGGTCTCTGGAAACGCTCGTGCCAAATGAGATCATGGACATAAGAGGGAACGCCAGAAAGAATATACTGGTGTGGACGTTTTGCACGCAAGTGCGTTGGGCGTTCTGCGCAGTGTAACTGACTTGGACGGCAACCAGGTGCGCTCTCATGTTTCCTTGGGATGTGATGTAGTAACCGGCGTGATCTGCAACATAGATGTGGCTATTTCCAATAATAACTTACAATTTCTTGTCAAGTCAACAACTGATACTCCCATTGTTGATGTCACCCGGCTAGGCAAGTCTCGCTGTGTGAAGATTGCGTTTAAGAGCACATCACTCCCCTCTCATGAGAAGGAGGGGTACTTCAGACATGCTGTGCGGCCTTTCATTCCAAAGCCTCTCCAGTGCCGTAAATGCATAAAACTTGGACATGTGAGCAGCGTCTGCGAGAATTCGGTGGTATGCCACCGCTGCGCCGAGCACCATGAAGCGAATAAGTGCGTCGCAACTGTCAAGAAATGCTCTAATTGCAATGGATCCCATGAAGCCACATCGAAGCCCGCGGATTCAGAAGGAAATTGCCATCTTAAAGGAGATGGTGCGCGATCACTCATCTCATCGAGAAGCCGCAGCTAAAGTCAGAAGGCGTCGTTCACGTCGACGTCGGTCTTCGAGGACGCCCGCTACCTCCTCGACACGTTTGCCAGATCCCTCATCAGTATCACCTCCTTTGCCTCTCAGACCACATGCCGTGGGAAAGGCTGTAAAAGACAAAGCCAGTCAGCATGCCCTAACTGCGACAGAGTGGCCTGCACTTCAAAGGGAAGCAGCATCAAGCGAACCGAAGGAGTTTCATGACGGCCAGTCCGCGATCCCTGTTCGAGATCTTTCCAACCAAGACAGGCAAGTGACTGCAATCGTGCAATCATTAATTGCCACGATTCGCACGCTACTGAACAGCATACAATCTCCGTCTGCTAAGAGTGCACTGCAAATACTGGATGCACTGAATCCAGTTCTTGCTAACTTTCTATAAGCACAATGGCTCAACATAATCTCATCTTCCGCACTGAAGTTAAAAGTGCGTCGATTTTTCAGTGGAATGCCAGAGGCATGAAGTCCCGTATCTCGGACTTTCGCTAATTTGTTCGGGCCAATCAATTGCCTATATTTGTCATATGTGAACCAAACATATCAACGCTTTATAGATTGTCCGGTTATGAAGCTTTTTGTTCAGCCGCTTGTGAAGAACGAAGCAAAGTAATTGTTTACATTTGCACAGACTTGACTTATCTCTCGCACCCAATAAGTTCAAATGACGACAATCAGTACGTGTATCTTCGTGTAAAGAAGAATGCAGTTTTGTTCACGCTTATTGGTGGATATATATCTCCGTCATCGCGATTTGACTGCGACAGATTGAAAGACATCTTAATGAGGACCGATAGGCCTTGGATCATCACCGGTGACTTCAACGCCCATCACATGCTTTGGGGGAGCACTAGGATGAATGCCAGGGGCCGGAACATTGTTACGTTCGCTTCCGATTACGACCTTTCCATAATGAACGATGGTACCCCCACATATCTGCGGGGTCTCACGCATTGCAGTTGCCTTGACCTGACATTGGTGTCACGGTGCTTCTCTCACAAAGTTAAGTGGTTTTGCGATATTGAGACTCATGGGAGTGATCACATACCCACCTACGTGACGATCGATGGTATCATAAAAAATTTCTCTTCCGGTGTTGCAATTGGCACTGACTGGTCGATTTTTACATCGCGTGTTGAGAGCGCTTGCCAAGAAGGCCTCGCCTGCAGCCTGGAAAATACCATAGCGGAAGTTATGCAAGCGTCCAAAGGTAAATTACCATTTTCTTCTAAAATAACACAGTTTGACTTCGAACTGGAAAAATTACTAGCTATACGAAGGCGTGCTGAACGACGATACAGACGCACAAGATCAATTTACGATCTGAGGGAAGCAAGGCGGCTCCAGAAAAAGATTCAACGACGCATTTACAAGCTGGAGAGCGAACGCTGGAAAGCAGTCTGCGAATCTCTAGACCCTCATAAAGCGCTGTCATATATCTGGAGAACAGTTTGTGGGCTTCGCTCCTCTCCGCAACAACGGCACCCTTTTAAAGCTTTGGCACGCCATCATGGAAAAACAGAACTCGAGGTGGCTGAAGAATTTTGCACGAGAGTTGCCGGGAATATTATGAATGAGAGAATCGACGCCGTGATCGTTCCTGAGACGCGATTACCAGAAATGGACATTCCATTCACCATGGAAGAACTGGAAGGTGCGTTAGTCGCTTCTAAGCACATGTCATCGCCAGGTCCTGATGGTATTACTTATAGTGCGTTGGGACACCTTGGACAAAAAGCCAGAAAAGAACTTTTAACATGCTTCAATAATTCCTGGCTCAGCGGCAGTGTTCCCCGAGAATGAAAAATAAGTCGAATAATACCACTTTTGAAATCG